ATCAGCCGGGTCTGTGGGTCCATGTGTGTTTGGGTGGATGAGGCCCAAACAGACCACGACACGAGGATGGAAGATTAGCGTTGGGATCTGACAGGGCGACAGACCATCGGACCTGTGGTGGCGGACAAGGGTGTGAAGTAGGCACATAAAGTGGGCTTAGCCAATCTTTCGGACCCTGATCTACATGGCCTGAACACACGAGATAAAAAAAAGAATTCAAGGCGACATGGACAATGCTGAGGCTCATCACGGCCGATTAGGCTACACACACACATCTGACAGGCCTGACATCCGACTTTAGGCGCCGAAAGATGATGACTATGATGATGATGCTTGAGATAAACACTAGTCGGTCACGAGCAAGACTGGTGGCCAGCCGCGCTAGCTACGAGTGGGCTTGGCGGATGAAGGGATAAAGGGAATTAATTGAGATCACCGAAAAAAAGGACCATTCAATCTGAAACCTGGGCGCCAATTGATAGGATAATCCGAGTCACACCAACCTGATAAGGCTTGAAAATTCAGACTGGCCGAGATGGACGCAGGCCAAGACAGATTGTCCTGTGTTGTGGGGAGGTGTTGCTGACACGAAACCGGGTCATAGTTCGAGGTGTGTTTGTGTGTGTGTGTGTGTGTGTTGATTGAGCAAGTGTGAAGAGAGGGCAAATGGCTACCAGACGGGTGGGCACGAACGGACTCAGCAATGATCTACCGACTGGAAGTCAGACGCGACAATGACTATGCTTGTGTGTGTGCACTGAATAGACACATGCACAGACGGATAGATAAGAGAGGGATGGAAGGGACAGCAGAGATCTGGCTTGACTTGTTGCTTTAGTATGACTAGTTAGAGTTTACCTCCTACTCGGACCAGCTCAGCAAGAACCAGTCGTGCTGGAAGGAAGGGATGCGACGGGTCTGCTAGAGGATGACGAGAACTCGGCTGGTAGGACAGACCAACTTGGTAGGCATCTGTTTTTGAGAAGCTTATGTGTTGTTAAGACGGACGTGTGAAAGCAATTGCCTCAAAATGCCTTGACAAGACGCCTGCTGTTGCGAGAAGGGAAAGGCCAGGTGGTTGGGAGGAGGAGTGGGCTGGTCCGACCCACTTCAAAGCTGGAGAGCTGGACATCTGAACCTCATAGTCTGGGGTTCTTAATGAGCCGCGTAGTAGGCGAAGATTCGAGCCAGTTCGTCCGGTCAGACGGCCGAGTTCAGGCCTCATAATTACTGTTGGGCCAGACTTAAGCTATGATTAAGGACTACGCCAGTCGGGAGTTGAGAAAAGCACAATTTTTCAAACAATTTCGCTCAAAATTGTGATTATGGGATGTGAGTGAGTCGAAACCATCGGCTGTTGCATGGCCACAATTAACACATGAAATGCATACTCAACCGGTCTATGCGACAGATACTGTATGGAAAGCAACGAAGAGTTGACCATCATAATCGTGTCTTGTAGAGACTGTAGGATGACTCCTTTCGACGATGTCATAACATCTAGTATGAAAAACA